CAGTCTTCACCACAACAAAAGCCAAAGGAAGGTATTGATCATTTAGTTCTCTTCCAACAACAATCAAAAGCTTGCCACCAAATTTGTTTTTTAAGTGACATCCATCTACCCCTATTAATGACCGACTTGCCTTTTTAAAAGCTAATTTTGAACCTTCAAAGCACATTAGAAACTCCTAAACCTTTGCAAAATCTCCAAAGAAGGCCTAAAAACCCTGATCACACAGGTATTGCCTAAACTTCTTTATTTAAGTTCAGCTACATATCTCCATAGTAGTCCATATTGTTTGTCAAAGTCACCATCAATCACACTTTTAGATATATGTTTAGCCCTGAATTCTCTTAACAGTGTTATCCTAGTGGAGTAGTTGGATTTAATTTCTCCAACAATATCTTTTAATGTCATGTCAGTGGTCTTGGCCTTCAACTTGTTAATCAAAACCTTGACAACTCAAGCTGACTTCACACTCTTATTGTGGAAGATCCTTCCATGTGTATTTGTCAACCAGAGTGTTCAGCCTATAAGTCTCTGAATTGCTGACTTTACTAACATACACAGAGTATTCAGCACAATGCCTACACTTGCCCTTGCCTTCTTCTTGTCATTCAAATCGAATCTGATTTCCTTTCCATTCAGCACATTGTACTCTTGAATTGCGTCCTTAAACTCCTTGATGGAACCAAACTCCAAACCCAACTTCCACTTGTAATCCTTATTCAATTCATCAACATTAAATTTGGAATATTTTCTTCTGTAACCATCTTCCTCAGGGTCACCAATGAGTAGTTCTTCACTTGCATAACCATGATAAAGGTCATCAGCTTGTACTTCTTGTGCCTTATTAAAACCATCTTGTAAACCTTGACTACTCTAACAAAAAACATTCACTCTTTTCGATTGCCTCTTCCTAACACCCTTCTTTTTTTTTTCTTTTTCTTTTTTTCCCACCTCCAGGTTTCCAACAGCAGCAGTCCCATCATCATCATCATCATCTCCACCCCCAACAACATTAGCCCCACCCCCTAACAACTTCATCTAAACCCACAACAGTACCATCATCACCACCCCTAACAGCAGTATCCCTACCTCCAACACCTGCAACACCACCATCAACAACCACCTTTCTTTTAGACTAACCACCACTTTGAAGCGCACTTGGTAAGTCTTCTTTAGGGGTCGACTTTTCAATACAATCTTCATCCTCAGAAATCTAGATAACTGCTACACGAACATTGACTTTGTCAGGCTGATGAACACTCTGAGCAACATCTACCTCCTCAACCTCAACATCTTCATTCACTTTCTTTGCAAATAACTTCTTCCTTTCTGCCTTTTGCTCATCGAAATTCTGGAATGTCTCTGTCAAATCCATCATCCATGTCACTAGCCCTATCCTCCTCACTTTCATCTAAATGAATTTTGTGTAGAGATTCCTTCTCACCACTAGGAAAATTGTCCCTAATAACACCCTCGTTGCCTCCTTCACAAACAACATATATTTCAACCTTCACACTATTACACATGGCAAAATTAGTCATGTCTAGGGCTACACTATCACAATTGATTTCGTTGAAGTCAAAAGGACCAAATTTCTACTATATCCTCACAGGGTGCTCTCTGTAACCTAAGTCTTTTTTTTAAATTTCAAGTGCTTCGAAGTACGACCACGTGTCCATATCAATATTCTTCACAGGAACAACCTCTTTGCTCCCAACATAATGCATCACGGGGTCCAATTCAAAATGACCCCCGTGATGAATTATAGCATTGAAAGCCATTTACATACAAAAAGGAACAAATATTCGTGTCAGGTAAAGTAAAAATTTACGAAAGAAAATCCTAATCCACAATAATTTAATCAAATAACACTTACATTCAATAATGTCGACAATGTTCACAACGTCGCCTCTGTTAACAACCACGGTACTTGGAAAACAAGGAAAAAACAACAACATCCATGTTTGTTTCAAAAACAAAAAAAGTAAAGGTGAAGATAAAGATGAGAAACAAACTACAATGTTAGATAGGGGTTCAACAAATTTTTTTTTATTTAAAAATATTTCACTTGAAGATCAAGATTGAGTAACTACCCAATGGTAGTTTAAGTTTTTCTTCTTCAACACTTCCCTAAGTATTAACATTGCGCGCTTAAATTTCTATTTTTTGATTTTTTTTAAATTTAAAAATACTGATGAAGAATCCTGACGTAATGGTTTAATGGTGAGAGAGATCGACGGTAACGTGACAAACAATTAGTTACATTACCATTTAACTGACGAAGGTTAACGTCAGGTATAAAATTGTAAAAAAAATTAGTTAGACATTAAAATGAAAAAAAATTTCTAAGGTAATTTTTTGTAATAAACCATATTTAGAGGTAATTAAAAGGTATTTAAACTTATTTTATTTTTAAATAAATAAATAAATATTACAATATCAAATATGAAACACCTTATATAAATAATCTCAAATTTTTAGAAAGTAAGATTCAATCTTTTAAATTTCAATAAAAAAAAGTTCGTTAAAAAATTTATATATATATTATTTTCACGATATATCTAATTATAATTTGTTAGTCGTTTTTTAATCACTCTTTTATAATTCAAATAAGATTAATATATATGTAAAAAATAGAATAATTTTTATGACAAAATTTATGAATTTTATTGTGTTAAAGTTAATAAAAAAATATCTAATATTTAAATTTTAAATTATTTTTAACCCTTAAAACATGATTATAAATTCAGCACATATATTATAGGGTCGGAGTTGACGGAGAATTCCAAGTAGATGATTGCAAAGGCGTCAGCATCTTCCCTCATGTCAGAATTTGAGGCTCAGCGTTGTGCCATCGCCCATGTTACGGGAATTTGTTTGACTTTCAAAACAGCGAAACCAAAAATGTTCACCAAAATACAACAAAAGAACACCTAAACTTTTAGATATTTTAAAAAATAAAAAATAACAACAGTGACGCCTGTGGTTCTTCAAGTTCGGCATTAAACATGTCCGCATAATCCATGGGCTAAAGTCTGTCTCAGAGCCCAATAAAGTTAGGCTTACTTTTAATTTTAAATTCGTATTCACTAGTTATATCTTTACTTATCTCCTGTCAACGTTACGAATTTATTTGAAAGTTAATTTTAGAAAGAAAAAAAATGTTTATTTAAAATTAAATTTTATTTAAAAGTTTTTATTTTTTTTTTAAATTTTATGTTTTTATATTATTTGAAATTGAAAATATTTCTTTTGTTAATTCTCATTTCTTTTATCCTTTTTTCTTTCTTTCTTATCCTTCAATTTTTTTTTTCCTTCTCTTTCTTTCTAAATATTTAAATGAAGTCTAAGATATTATATGCAAGATCAATTTAAGGGAGAAGGAGGAAAGGATAGAAAGGAAAAACTTTTAAGAAATTTTTTTTTGTGTGTTTTAAAATTAAAGCAAAGATTGTAAAATTTTAAATGTTCTTCAACACTTGTTTTCTTTTTTATATTTTTTGAATTTTTCCATTTTAAAAAATATTTTAACATCTAAATAAGAGAATAGTTTAATCTTTTATCTTCCTTCCTTCTCCTTCTTTACCTCTCAAACAATTTTTTTTTTCTCTAAACTTTCAAACATAATTATAAAAAATATTGTTTCACACATAGATGTTAATTTTAATTTTATTTGTCATATTAAAATCAACTACAAATTTTGATTAAATAAAAAGTTTAAATTTAAAAAGTTTATTTAAATTAAGTTAGAAGGTGACGTCATACCACTGTACAAGTGTGGACAACAATAGTTAAAAGTGATTAATTTATGGCAACGTCTAATGATAGCAAGAGTTGTTAGATTATGCCACCAACAATAATGATATAATTAAATAAAGTACAAAGATTTAAGGATAAAGTTCTTTGTAAGTAGTTATAAAAGTAAAAGTTTTAGTACTATGAATAAAATCTTTTTTATAAGATAAAATCAACTTATACTTCTTTATTTTTTTAGAAAATACACTTATTTAACTTCTCTAAAATTTAAAACTATAAATCATTTTAACTTAGAAGCGAAATTTTATTTATTTTTATATTTAAAAAAACTTATTCACATGCTCATCGAAATTGAGCCAATAAATAATAACATTGATATATTAATTCTGAGTTTAATTAATAGATAAAATGTTTAGAGTTTATATATATACGAGATTATCTAATCTATCCGTTACTTTAAAGATTTTTATCAAGTAAATCAATTTTATAAAATTTTATATAAAAATAAAATTAATCAGTACTTTAATGTATTAGCTTATTTAAATGGTTAATAAGTTTTTAAAACATACATGATTATGAAGATAAGTATTCAAATTTGATACCTAAGTAAACAAATCCTAAGTCTCTTTAAATCCATGAGTGTCAAGTTTTCACACTTATTTTAATATAGAGCAAAAAATTGGCCAATTCAACTATTAAACCATTTGATATTATTTTTATAAAAATAAAATTAATTAGTACTTTAATGTATAGTTTATTTGAATGGCTAATATGTTTTTAAAATATACATAATTAAGAAGATAAATATCCAAATTTTATACCTAAATAAACAAATCCTAAATCTCTTTAAATCTGTTGAGTGTCAATTTTTATCAATTTTTCACACTTACTACTTAGTATAGAGTGAAAAATTGACCAATTCAACTGTTAAATAATTTGATATTAAATTTGACATAATTTAAACATTTATAAATGTGAAAAAGTTAATGTTTATGTATGTTAAAAATATTACCCATTAAAACAAAGTAATGCAGTGAAATACCTATTAATTTTATTTTTTATGAAATTTTATAATCTTGTATTTTATAAAAAATAATTAATTATCGTAAATATTGAAGTTTGATACTTGATTTGAATAGATGCTGAATTGATCCACGTATGAAAAAACCTATAGACAACCTCTTCTTGGATGAATGGGAAAGAAAGCCAAGAAGTCTACCAATAGTACCGCATGAATCAATTTCTTGAAAGGTAATAACACAAATATATTTCCTTCATTGCAACATAAAGTATTCACACAACAGAATGTAACAAGGAAGAGAAACGAAGGAAAATGAAGCGGAAGGCACTCACAGTCACACTGTGTCAACTAAAGCCGACAAAAAAGAAAAACCTAGCAATCTACCACATATGATACTATCTAGAAGGAAAACGAAGCACTCGTGTTAATTTCCAGCTCAGTGTAATACCTCAAGCATCTGCAACTCAATAGGGAATCCAGCAAACTGAATCTACATATTTTGCACCTTAACAGAACAACTACTATGCCCCTTGAAGATTGATTGATTCAGGGATCAAATCTCACTAAAGTAGCTTTGGCTCAACCTTAGCCTATCCTAGCCTCCCCAAACCAGGTCCTGCTCAGGCCTCCTTTGTAACCAAGAAAAAGAAAAAAGGACCAAGAGAACCAAAAGAGCAAAAAGGAAAAAAGAAAAAAGAACACTTAATAGAAAAAAATAAAACCCACCCATTTCATCATAAAGATAGAGGTAAAATCCTAACCTCTAGCTAACAATACATCCAAATTATTGGAATGGGCATTGGATGAAGAATCCCCCAATTTAGTTGTTCTTCTCACAGTTGCGTTGCTGTGAACTCTATTTTCTTGTCCATATGGATGCTCATGATTGGTTACCTGATGTAAATGAAGCAAAGCAATCATGCTAACCGCAACCAAAGCAGCATTGCCCACTATTCCACCCATATGATCCAATCCAAGTGCTTTCTTCACAAAATTGAAACTTGAGACAAAAACATTGATACGGATATTAGATCTCTTCGCTTTCTGAGTCACAAAATTCTCAGCAGAACCGTTTGGTTGTCCATAAAGAATTTCAGGTGCGACAAGGCAGCTTGCATCATGTACATTTCCAACAAAAGCAAGAGCTTCTTCAATGACTTTATATTTTTTACCACGGTGCTCTGCCAGTCTCATTGCAAGAACAATTCTGCTCTGTTCTAGACGTGCAATTGCAGCATCTCTCTCAACGCGCTGCTGAGTTTGAATAGTCTACAAACCACAGAATGAAGTTCCAATTTGAAAGTCACATTAAAAAATAAGCAACATATGGATACTAGTAAAAAGTTAAGCATGCAATTAACTGACTAATAAAACTTCTCAAGCTCCAGAAGAAACTAGAGGAAAGATAACGCCTACTGCACATCCATACACTTTTGGATCATTTTATGCATTAAATTTCTGCTAATAAACCAAACCAGTTAATTTAACTGAGTCAACCTGTTATATAAACCTGCCTTCCCATGGAACAATGATTTCCTTTTATTATTTTGTCCTTAATTTGAGCCAACTTTTATGAATATGAGGGCTCCCTATCATCTTGACTGATAATGTATTAGGGTTATTCAAGTAGTTTGAGTCATTTCATGTTTGCTATGTCAGGAGTGTTTATGGGTGTTAGAATGTTTAAGAGTTCTTTATGCCAGGTTTTTTTGCCCACATCATTCCTATTTCAACTTCACAAATCCCAGGCCACAACAATCCATTTTCTCACCAAAATCTAGCCAGTTTCATTGCATGACAGCCTTCCGACATGTAACCATTTTTCAGTCTCTTTCTCAGAAAAAGGAAATTTGCCATTAGATTGAGAGGGCACCTAAATAGCAAAGAGGTGAAACATAATCACCAAAACCTCACCCACAAAAGCACCTCACAACTCCAGACTCACTAGGGACAGCACAACCACTGACCAAGTTGCCTCCTTCTGTTGTCTAGATCCCCAATTTCATTCTCTAGTTTCCACCATTTCTTGGTATAAATATGCTGTGTTAGTGTTAGTGATACGGACCCATTAATAAACCGAGCAAATGGCCCAGAATTGGGCACATTTATACTAGGAGGAATATGAGATTACAGGCAAGAGGGGGGGGGGGGGGGAGGGCGTAGAATATATAGAGAGGAGAGAGAGAAATTAGTGACAGAATAAGATATAAACAAAAGTATTCTGTTGCCTGCAGAGTGGCTCTCAGTTCTGGGAGTTGGGAGAGTTCTTTTTCTGTTACTCTTCATACTTCCCTACTTCCCTATACACATATACTATACCGTCATGAAGAAATCTCCACTAATACAGAATTTAGATTTTAAGTTGTGTTTCTCTGTATTTATCATATGTCACCATGTTTGTTTTTGCTCCTGTCTGTTTGACCTTGTTCCTGTGTGGCAAGCTTGCTCCTACCACAGTATTGTGGCTACAGTTAGATCTTTTGGCTCTCTTTCTACATACTTTGGTGCATTTTGGCTCTGCTTCCATCTGTTTTTGAATGCCCACCTCTGTTTGATTCTGTTCTCTAATTCTCTAAAATCAAGAAGCTATTTTTTGAGCCCATTTGAGACATGTTCAAGCTAACTTCAGCCTGACATTTCCAACAAATTTCCAAAGGTTTTGGCTGGTTTAAGCGGGTACTGGTCTACGCACAAACCCCATCAATCCAAACCAATAACAAAATAATAGGTTGATTTGGATAATTATTGGATAGGTTTGGGTTTAAAAGGAAAAATCCAATTTTAATTGTTTGGCTATCGGATTTAAACATGAAAATCAAACAACCCAGACCAAGCCAATATATATGAAAAAATTAAGATTTATGTGACTATATGATAGATTTTTTATTTTTTATCAAAAGAACACTACTCAATATTAATGTGACTATTAGTATTGTATTTGATTATATTGAAACATTGTTAATACCATAATTCATTGGATTATGGTAAATTTTAGATTTCTTTAAATCTGTGCTAATATTTAATAGTTTTTGTAGATCTTTCCTATATATATATATTCATATTTTTTATTTTTTAATAGAAAATAATAACCCAATAATTCAACCCAAACCAATTATTTTTAATTGGTTTGAACATTATTTTTCCTTAAACCCAAACTGACCCGGTCCAAGTACACACCATTTAATTAGGTTTGGGCATTGTCGATGATTTATAGGGACTTTATTCTGATTGCTGTTCCCAAAGTGTACCTTCCAAAGCTCTACATTGGCCATCAAACATCCTAGCTAGCTCCTTTTGGTCTGACTGTTTGCCATTTAATCCATCTTTTCATTGTGTTATCTTTAATTCTTTCCAACAAAGATAATTTCATTTTTTTTTCAGGATGCCTAATTTTTCATTGTTGTATTTCCAGCCATGGTTTATGTAGCTTATGTGATAATTTTAGGTTATTTTCTGACTTTAATTTTGATAGACTGTCAATCTTTTTCACACTGAGAACCAAATAACATCCTAAATATTTTTAATGTAGTTATCACAAAAGTCCAATTTTCAATAATATAGCAATGCATGATTGGTTGACAATGAGTCAATGCATTCTAATGAAATCCATTTTCTTTAGAGGTGTTTATTTGTAACAAGATAAGAGAAAAGTTAGCTTCAGCTTGATGGGAATTGTTAGAATATTAGAGCTATTTATTTAAGTGTTACAAGGTGTTAATTATCTTATAGGGCAAAGCTTGTTCACTTAACCTACATTAGCAGTATAAATAGGAGCACTTGTGATTTGTAATATTGGCATTTACCTGCCACTTGTTAATATATCTCTCTCCCTCTTATTAGACAGCAGTTTAATTTTTCCTATTGCCCTGAACTCATTGGTTCAATGCCACAGAACCAACAATATGATACTGTGATTTTCATAACATGGAATATTGTACCCTGATTATCACAACTCATAAGTTTACTGCATATTCCATAATCCATTGGATTGAACCCCAAGACCTAATCCTACAGTGCCGTTTCTGGCAAATACCTTATGACACAGATCATTCGAAGCCCATTGTTCAACTTCAATCCATTTACATCAGTGAAATGCTGAAACTTAGAATGATTAATTCAAACATACTAGTATGACAATTAGTGCAAGCGATGAGATCATAATTTAACTAACCTTAACTATGTTAGAGTATCTAATTTAGGATTACAATGGAAAACACCCCTAGACTACTAAGTATTAACAGCTGAAAACCATTGTCTGATTAATCAGTAATTAATTTTCATAATAAAAATGTTTTATTTTTCATTTACAACTCATTAGATTGTGGAGAGAAAGAAAATTGAAAACATGTACGAACTCTCTCACACACATGAAAATCAAAACCATCATTTGTCCTATTGGATAAGATTTTCAAACCATCTATCGTTTTATATAATTTTCTAGCACTAGGACAAAAGAAACTGAGAGTGCAAGTCAAGAGATGAAAAAAAGCAGTGTATAGACAAGTCATAGGCTAAAGTAAAGATTGGTAGTAAATGCTAACAGAAAGGAAGTTCAAAATTGGGAAGAGCCAAATAACATATGAAACCCTACAGTGAATGGTCAGGACTGGGGAACAATGATAACAGATTCAAAACCTTTGGAAGAGGTAACTATCCATAAACAATATCATTGCACCCAAAAAAACAAAAAATCCATAAACAAATTCATCAAAACACTTGAATGCAACTAGACCTAGAAAGACACTAGAATGCAAAACACTTTTTTATTGTTGCTTTACTTTTCTATAATCTAAACTCATTAATCAAATCTGATTCTTCACATGCTTCTTCTTCCTTTTGGTTCCCCAGGTCTCAGGATCAAAACTTGAGCACATTTTACAGCAAACGCTTCATTTTTAATTTCCCATACAATAAATGCTATTTAACCCTAGAGCATTGGTGTACTCGATAGAACTCTCAAATGTATTATATGAAATAAAAGAAATTGTATTGATTAAAATGCAATTTACAGAACAAATATTCTAGTAGTGATAAATCCTAACCAGCCTAGAACCCATGGCTTCTCCAGAGTAATGTTTTATGCATTCTCTGCCTAGCTAAACAGCTTAACAAACTATTGCTACGCTGCCTCTCCTGTATCCCCACTCTCTCCTTATATATCCCATCACATGCTACACACACTTATCCAATTACAGCCAACTTACACATTTTATTTACTTGGGCCTAGGCCCTTTTTCTTGGTTCCTATCAGTATCCTATTGATTCATCTCTCTTGTTTGAAGCATGTATGTTTTTGACATTGACACTTTTCAAACACTCCTCATTATGTGTCTAATTAAAAGAATATTTTTTGTCAGCTTGGACACTTGAGTAGACACTTTAATATAGATGGACACAACTATTATCAAACAAAATTTTTTAATTAAACTTTAATAAACATAGCTTAAAATATAATGTAAAATATAAAAAATGATGCTTTTTAATTTTTTTAAAAAATATTTATATAGAGTCAGGATCTATTGACAGCAGATGTCAAACTTGTAACACTTACAACTTTTAATAACTTTTTACAAAATGTGAGATTGACCAATCAAATCATTTGTTTGAAGGGTCTTATTAAGTAGATTAACTTTATAAAATTTTATACAAAAAAAAAACTTTAAAAAAGTAGATAAACTTGTTAAGGGTATTATGTTTTTAAAATATAAGTGAATATCAAATTTTGGATAACATACCTACAAATATTCAAATTGTGTGAAAATCGATATACATGATTATGAAGATTTAATGGTTGGATTGATCAATTTTGCATTCTATGAAAAGTTATTAAGAGATATAAGTATCTAAGTTTGACACCTCGTGTCAATGGATTATGTTTTAGACGTTAGCCATATTGGAGTGTTTGTGTTGTCTCTGGTATGTGTTAGAGTCTGTGCTTTGTAGGGTGTATCTATTAAAATTTAAGAGGGTTAACTATTCCCTCACCATCTGCACACTTACACTTACTTCCTAACCAACCACCGCTGAAGAACTTGGTTCTCCTAAAACAAGGTCTTAGATTCAAAGCATTAGTAGAGCTTTGCTCCCTATGGCCTTTACATGAATTGGTCAAGGTCCAAACAGGCTTTCAAATACCAAATGTATAAGACTAATTTTTACAACAACATCAATAAAGCCTTACTTCACTAGGTAAGATTGGCTGCATAAATCATATGAAACCACTGAACACAATCAAAATCAAAATTTTCAGAGATATTATTTAACAATATTTTGTCTTGTACATAAATAAATAAATAAATAAATAATCATTCACAGTTTTGCGCATCCTGTGCTTTCTTTGCCTCAACGAGACACTCAAACTAAAACATAAGGTCCATTAAAAATCGCACACACCAAACCGTTAACATGTCCAGTTCTCGTGCCACAAAAATTGCGAGAAACAAGAGTACAATAACAAAAAACAGCCATTAACATTCAATTTCATCAAAATTTCAAGCTACAACACAGCAGCCATTCGATTAAAATACCATAAAAATAGTTCCACGCCCATTAGAAGCAAGCCACAAACAAAAGGAGTGTAAAAACAGCTTCATTATGATGAATTATGAAGCAAATTAAAAAAGGCTCACATGGAAGAACTCAAGCTGGTCTTCGAGATTCTCGAGAGCGGTTCTGATGGCATTGAGACTCTTGGCTTCGCGAACGGCAGAGTCGTCATCGTCGTCGACGGGTCTAAAGTCCTTGACGAAGACGAAACCGGAACGGTCATCGACGGAGTTAGTGTTGTGAATGTGAGAAGAGTTTTTGAGGGTTTTGACGGAAGTGAGAAAGTGGGATCTAGAAATGGAGTGAATAGCGTCGCTGAGCTTGTCGTGAAGATCCCAAATTTTCTCAAGAATCGCTTCGATTTCTTCCATCTGCATATTCCATTTCATTTTCGGTGGGGCGAATGAAATGGAGCCAAGTTATAGCACCACAGATTTAAACCCCTCCATCCTTCAACACTTCTAAACTGCTGCAATAATTAATATTTAGTGTGCCTCCACTCCCACGAAAGGAATTTGGGTCTCAACGTCTTGTCGTTTATGTAGCTGTTACTTTTTTTTTTTTTTTTTTAATATAATTAGTATTTAATTTAATGTTACTTCGTTTTGGAAACAAATACATACCTACCATGACAACGAATGAATATGAATAATTAGTGTTTTGAATACACTTGGCTTCCAGAGTAGTTTTTGTCGGTAATTGAAAAATTAAAATTAAAAAAACATGCTTCCTTGCCTTTGAAAGATATTTTGGGTTTCCACTTCATGTCGTTTACACGTACGGCAGTTACTGTGTTTTTAAAACGTAATGTTTTCCTAAAACAATTTAAAGGGATTCACGTATGAAAATCCTTGGTGATAATTATTAAAACTGTAAACTGTTAAAATGAACCAATTAAAAACACCCGTGGTAACTCTTTAAGCTGAACGTAAGTTATTTATATTCAAATTATTTTTAAGGTGAACCAAGAAACTAGTTAACTTAACCCATTGAGTCGGTAAGTTAACTCACTACACAAAAAAATAAAAAAAACCTTAAAAATATTTTAAAATATACTATTATATTTAATAAAAGAATTACAATTACTTTACCTTATTTAATAGTTAGCTTATAAACAAACTATATACCAATGAATCATAAAATAGCAAATTTAACGTAAGATAGTTTATACAGTTTAAAAAAATAATTAATAGCTTGTATAATGCACAAGTATTTAATTTTAATAAATATATATATATATATATAATTTAATAATTCAAAATTTTTTATAAATAATTATATATATATATATATATATGTAATAAAATTATTTGAAAGATTAGTTTTTTTTAAGAAAATAATTTAACTTAACTTTATGATAACAAAAAGTAAGATTTTCTATTTAAAATAAAAAAAAACTGTAAAAATGTCATTTTTAAAAAAAAATTAAATATGTTCAAAATCAACTTAAAACATAAATTGCATAAGGATTAGGTAATTTGTAAATATTACATGTCATACTAGGCTAATGTGATTTACATTTGAGCACACCATATGCTACTTGTAAGGACGACCGAGTTATCTTACAAGTTGTCCAGGGTTAATGCAACTTATTATTAATACATAACTCATTAACTTGATGCAACTTATGAATTAGCATGATTGTACTATTATAATAAGTACATGGCATGCTCGTTGGAAAACTAGAATACAAGTCATTTTATCTTAGTACGATTTTCATTATAATAGAGAAGTTACAAATACTATAGAGAATATTACTTTCATAGTGAAAGACTGATTTGCATTGATATCTATTCAACTATAATTTTTTCCCATTTACAAAGCAGCATATTCCACCATGCAATGCATATTTATACCAACTCCAAGAATGTAGAAGAGTCTGACAACTATTATTCTTAACAACATTAAACTTGTAAATATGACATAATGACCGCTACAAAGATGCTAGATTTGGAGATCCCCAACTAAGAGTACTTGTGCAAATCACTTAGATAAGTAGTCATTTAAGATAAACCTTAGCACCCAATTTGTCACCAAACAAAAAATCACCAGATGCTTGCATATAATATGTTCAAGTATAACATAATATTGTTTCCAAATTTGCTCAATGTCATATCGCATTTATAAAATCTTGTTCAATCATTTCTGCATCTACCAACAATTAGTCTGTCTACTTGCAACTCTAATTAGAATGTCATATATGCACTAATGAATATCTTATCATAGTCATAATACCTGATAAGTGTCAAAATCTAGCTATTTTTAGGTAAGGTTATTGATGATTTATACTTAGTAAAAAAAAATACACAAACTGAATCAAATAAACTAACTTATATTAAACCATCAAACAATATTACAACCTACTAAATTAACAAATTAAACTAATCTAAGTAAAAATTAAATTTAGTTTAAGTAAACAAAAGTTTAATAAATTGTATTTTTTAAAATTTATTTAACTACTCAGTATAAATCAACTATTAGTTCGTGCAACCTTACACAGATGTGCTCATTATCATTATAACAATTAAAATTTTTTAGCTCCATAACAATTGAAAGTTTCTAATTCCATAATTTATTGTATGTTTTATACAATTGAATCAAAATAAGTTGCATTAAATTCTCTTTTATACAAAAGACAAGCACGCCTTGTGCTTATTAGTAGTGCGATTATGCTAATACATAAGTCACATCTCCTTGAAATGGCTTGTGTATTAATAATAAGTTTTATTAAGATTGAACGACTTGTAATTAGTCATGATCATATATACTCCCTGTAGTATGAGGCATGCTTGACGACAAATCACTCAAACTTGGTGCAACTTATGTAAAATTTACGATTCAACCTACGCCTATGTAATTTATAACGTTATAAATTACATTCCATATTTACAATTCTTAAAAGAAATATTTTTAAAGTATTTTATTTTAAATAAAAAAATTCTAAATAATATGTATCAAAAGGATAAAATTTTAATAAAATTAAAATAATTTTAAAATATAATATTTTTAAAATAATAATTAATTATTATGAGTTTATATATAAACAAAGATAATTGTAAATTTTTTTAAAAGTTTATAAAAAGTAATAAAAGAAAGTTAAGTAACAATTTTTATCTTTAAAATTTATAACTAAATTAAAAAATAAATAAAAATAAAATTATTATATGAGAAAAATTGTATAATTTACACATATTTTTAAGTTATTTTAATATTAAAAAATAGAAGAGAAAAACTCTAGTAAATATTTCACTTTTCATTCAGAAGAGTGAATTAGAATAAACTCATGTTGTCTCAAGTGAGCCAGCAACTGTAATGATTAACAATATTAATCTTACATTTTTAATATACATGAAAGTAATTAAATTCAACTCAGATAAGGAACTTTAATCCATCATACAAAATAATAACATACATACAACTGTTGACTATATATACAACCAGTGAGAAGTAGAAAAAAAAATAAAAATACATGGAACAGTAAAGCACGAAAACCACTGAAATTGTGAATAAAGTAAGATGTTCTGCTTGAACACAAACACCACATCAACAACAATAGGCGAGAATTTGAACGTGCGACACAGTGAATAGAGCAATCGAACAAGTAAACCGGATGAGCACAGAGACGCCAACAAAGTTGCTGCAATATGCAGTGAATAGAGATGCGATGGTAAAGTAGGCGAGCACAAAGACACGATCGTGATCAGAGAGGAAGAATTGGCTTTTATGAGTTACCTTTGGAGTATACAATGCTCGATAGAATGAGAAAAAATTGTTTTTTTTCTTTTTATTTTTTTAACCGGAGAGATCAGAAAGAGAGGAAGAGGAAGAGCATTGAAACGTGCAACAGCACTAGATTGGTTGAGACTGAAAAAGCGGGAGTGAGAGAGAGGGAGAGAGAGAGAGAGAGAGAGAGGTTTATTACTTATTAGAATTAGGAGGTTGTTGCAGTGACATTAGAACTTGGAAGAGGGGAGAGATTGGAGGAACGAAGGTGGGGGTAGGAAGGGTGGAGTTGAGATTGCAACATTCTAACCAGACCGTTGCTTGGATAAAGCAGTGAGGTTGCTCTTGCCTTGGTTCAGTTCTCCATTATTTTAGTCATCCTAACTATCCATATATGGAGAAAACAAAATTCAAGTAACTATATCCAGCTATATGCGAATGCTCCTCAGGTAATGCATCTTTGTCTTTCTTAATTTCATTGAAATTCGTCTAAGCAAAATTTCATCAAACTTTTGAATTTTTGTTTAAGTAAATTTAAATTTGTTTAAGCAAATCTGAAATTAAACATGCAAGAAATGATTTGAATCTCAATTGCTTACAATTTTTTGTTTTTAGATTTAGAATGAAGTAGGAGAAATGTTCACTTCTCAGTTCTCACATCTCACAGGAAATTTAAGTAAAGTTCTTATAAGACTTAATTAAGTACTTATACTTACAAAATTTTTGATTTTTATAAAATATTTTGTTGGAATATATATAGTTTCTGATTTTTTAAATTTATTAAAAATTAGTCTTTATTTTTAATTGAGTTCTGATAAGTATTTTTATAGTGCATTACAAATTAACTTGATAACTAAAACTATTATATTGGAGGAACATAACCTATTGGCCCTCCAAATAATGAGGGGTGCTCACAATTAGATTTGTAGAATCATATGAATATTTTTCAGGGTATTGTCCTTAATCGCAAGATAGTGAAATTTTTATTCAATTTATGAATTTCTTGTCATATTTTTTAACTTCTTATGTTGGTAATAATAAAACATGATACAGTATCAGTTGCAGCTGTGCCAGAAAGTAAGAGACAACCTTAGAGTTAGCTAGCAAATATTATTTTTCAATTGACATGTACTCTTCTTGAGCACATTATGTTGACCCTAAGTAAACTTTATATGTTATGTTACATTGACTTTATTAAGCTTTATATTTTCTTCTTAGTAATTCTCATTTCTAATCATGAAATTGAAGATTTTCTAATATTAATTTTGAAAGTTTTTATCTTGAAACTTTCTAACAAGTTTTTATCGTGAATGATAGTACCAACATATCTAGTCTGCACTCATAGAGTAAGAACATAAAGTTATTAATCTATTTATTCAATTTTTTAAGGATGGATTAGATTCTTCTCAGCAAAAGTCAGCCACAGAGGCTCTCCTCTTCCAATAAATTAAGCAACCATTTCCTTTTAAATCTACGTTCTTGAAATCGTGTAAGTTGCACTGCATCGTGTTTGTATGCTTCTGCAATTGCGTTTCTTAATTGGTCATAAAAACCAAATAGGAATATTTTAATAATTTTCTAGGAAACTAATAACCTTACATCCATCGAATTTAAACCGAACCTAAGTACCGTAGCATCTGTTGCATATAGTACATATCGCATGGCTTCTTTAATCACAGCCATATTCATGCGCCCTTAAAGCTCGCTATCTTGTACACTAATTTACGGCTGAGATAACTGAAAACTAAGAGCTGTCTATTATCAAAAGATTTAGAAAGATGTGTGGTGTACTTATTTGTCAAAATAATAAGAATACAAATACAAATACAAATTTGAAAGGTGTTGTTAAGAAACATGGTTTAGAAGAAAAAAATAAATATTTAGTTAAGTGAAAGGTAAGAGTTTATTGAATATAAATGGTAAATCGTATTATTAATAATTATGTCTACTCTGTTATTCTTTTAAACTTTTTTTATGAATCAAAATTTAAAACTTATAGTATCAAACTCTTTATTTTTATTAACTTATTTTGTTTCTTGAAAACACAAAGTATTAATCATAGTATCCACCATTTTTAATAACTTTTATGTCAAAATACTAATATTTTATGAACTAAACTAAAATAGACAGTCTTAGACTAACTTCTTTATTCAGATAAATATAATGACACTTATTCATTTAACACTACATCTTAAAAATAATTTGAATAACTCTAACAATGTTAAGTGTTTAGATTGTACATTTAAATGTTTTTTTGATATACAAAGTTATAAGTTTGAACATTTACAGTTTTTAATAACTTTTTTGTAAAATAAAAAATTAATTTAATTATTAATTTAAAAATTCTTATCAAAATTTATAATATCAATCTTGAATTTTATAATTTGACATATAATGTAAACCCATACATACTCACACTCTATATAATTACAAATAGTTAATATCTTTTTATACCTCGGTTAGAGTATGGCTTTTTAATTAACAAAATTTTGGCTTGTCAAAAAATGATACACGTCCTTTGTTTAATTACAGAGTAGTCTAATAAATAGTCAATATTTAATTCGTAAAAAGTCAATTACAAATAGAAATTAAAAGCTGTTTGGTTGGCATTACTTATATTTTACAGCTTTGTAACAATAAAAGGGAAGGATTATTTTGCAATAATTTTTTATATTTATATATATCGCACTCATTCTCGTGAGAGCATTGTATTTGTACACAATCATAGTTTGCCATTCGGTATTAACGTTGGTGTCCCATTCACTTCATTTGGATGCTAAAATACAACGTGCGCGTACAAGCAACTAAAAACGAAACAGTAAGTACTATACTCGCTGTCACTAGCTAGTAATCAAACGAAACTCGAAATTGTTTAAGATCCCCAATAAGAATATCCTTCATAGTTGATCAATGCAAGGGGAATATCCCCCAAAGCTATCAATGCCAACAATTTTTCTCGTTCCCATCTCCTATGCTTAGGTGTAAACGTCCATCGCTATATCCTCAATCCATCTCCAATTCCCTTAGGCAATAACTTTTATATATATATATATATATATATATATATATATATATATATATATATACACACATAAGAGGAACAAACACATAACCGGCAAACCCACTCGAGAAATTAACTAAACACACGACGTCGTTTAAAATGGCGTTAGAAGTGCTGGAGGCCCTTGATTCAGCGCGCACACAATGGTACCACGTGACGGCCATAGTGATTGCTGGGATGGGCTTTTTCACCGACGCTTACGACCTCTTTTGCATCTCCACAGTTTCAAAGCTCTTAGGTCGTTTATATTACTTCGACCCAAGCACATCAAAACCAGGGAAGCTTCCAACGGCGGTCAACAACTTTGTCATTGGTGTTGCTCTCGTTGGAACACTCACTGGCCAATTAGTCTTTGGCTGGCTTGGTGACAAACTGGGCCGAAAGAAGGTGTACGGAATCACTCTGATTCTCATGGTCGTCTGCGCCTTAGGTTCTGGCTTATCTTTCGGCTCAACGGCTAAGTCCGTCATGGGAACACTTTGTTTCTTCAGATTCTGGCTTGGCTTCGGCATCGGCGGAGACTACCCTCTCTCAGCCACCATCATGTCCGAATACGCCAACAAGAGGACACGTGGTGCTTTCATAGCCGCGGTGTTCGCTATGCAAGGAGTGGGAATTATATTCGCGGGATTGGTCTCAATGATCCTCTCAGGGATTTTCAAGTCCTATTTTCAGGCTCCGATATTCAAAGAAAACGCCGTTTTGTCGACGCAACCCGAGGGTGACCTTTTGTGGCGGTTGGTGCTAATGATTGGAGCAGTGCCTGCAATGTTGACTTATTACTGGCGAATGAAGATGCCCGAAACGGGGCGTTACACCGCTATCATAGAGGGGAATGCTAAGCAAGCCGCTGCGGATATGGCAAGAGTTTTGGACATTGAAATCCAAGCAGAACAAGACAAGTTGGCTGACTTTAAAGCTGCGAATAATTACCCTATTTGGTCAAACGAGTTTTTTCAACGTCACGGGCGTCACCTTATCGGAACGATGAGTTCTTGGTTCTTGTTAGACATCGCTTTCTATAGTCAGAATCTGACTCAAAAGGATATTTTCCCAGCGATGGGGCTTATTGCTTCGGACACAAACATGAATGCTTTGGAAGAAGTGTTCCAAACATCACGTGCCATGTTCGTGATTGCTTTGCTTGGGACCTTTCCTGGTTATTGGTTCACCGTTTTCTTTATTGAGAAGATTGGGCGATACAAGATCCAACTCATTGGGTTTTTCATGATGTCGTTTTTCATGTTTGTTATAGGTGTCAAGTATGATTACCTTAAAAACGACAACAAAAACATGTTCGCTCTTCTTTATGGGCTCACGTTCTTCTTTGCCAATTTTGGCCCGAACAGCACAACCTTCGTGCTGCCCGCGGAGTTGTTCCCAACGCGCGTGAGATCCACCTGCCACGCGCTCAGCGCTGCGGCGGGGAAGGCAGGGGCCATGGTGGGGGTTTTTGGGATTCAGAGTTACACTTTGAACGGTGATTTGCATAAGATTCGAAAGGCAATGATGATTCTGGCGGTGACTAATTTGTTAGGGTTTTTCTGTTCGTTTTTGGTTACTGAAACGAAGGGACGGTCACTGGAAGAAATTTCAGGCGAGGATGCGAAAGAGAGTGAACTCACACCAACGCCGAATAATAGAATTGCGGTGACTCGTGAGGGATCGCGAACGACGGAAACAATGTGAAGTGAATTCAATTACGTGTATGCATGCATGAGCACCAAACTATACATGTGGTAGTCAAGTTTTTTTTACAGTAATATAAGAATCAAATAAAATAATAATGGGGCCAAAATCTATGCTTTTTGGTGCCTAATGTTGTAGATGTTCTACTACAAATAAGAGCAGCTCAGTGTTTGTGAGATCATTGAAGACACAAGGAATGAGAGTATATATATTAATTAAAAGATGATGTTTTGTGTCCCTATTCCTCTTCGTCTCAGTCTCTCCCTACCAAAAAAAACAAAAAATCCCCCTATCTTGTAATAATTTATGCTTTAATAAATTCAGTATTTTATTGGAATGTTATTGTAATTTTTTTTTTGTTCTTTAGAAATTGAAATGTTGTATATGTTCTGCATCATCTTAAATCTCCCAACATATATAGATAATTTCAAATATGATGCGTCAAGCTAGCATGTAGCGTTAAATTTCATTTGCTAGCAATTAGTAAGAGGATATTAAAGAAATTAAATAGTATAAATTTTAAAAATATATTTATTTTGTTCAAAAAGAATGATTAATATGTTGATTTTAGTGACATCAATCTAAAAGAGCCGATTGATTTGTTTTCTTGTCCTTGAATCCATATAATTTTCAAATGGATTAGTCGCAATTAATTTAATGATATAGAGCTTAGTGTTGAAACCGTAGAAATTAATACCATTGACTATATTTCTTGTAAGTTAACGCTTCGCCTGGATGATAACGAAGTAAGAAAGAACGAATGAAAAATCGGAGGGTGATAATTATAACACAAAACTTTGCTTCATCTTTCAATATTTTCTTATTTAGAGGATCTTTTGGTGTTAATGTAGTATTTATCCTAAAGATGATTAACATAGATGTACGAGATTTGATAAACGATGGTGGAATGATAGCGATTGTTAGGTATTTACAATGGAGAAGAAGACAAAATAAAATAATTGGTTAGAAATAACTTGCAGGCAATTAAAGAGATTTTTAGTGATGATTTAAAAATTTTAAATAATGATTTACCATTAAAATTATATATATATATATATATATATTAATAAGAAAAAAATATTATCCAAAACACTATTATTTTAAAAAAATTTAGTTAAGTTAAAATACACAACCAAGTTAAGAAATTATTTTTCTTTGAAAAATAATTTAGAGAACTAAATTGAATAAACAAATTGAAGCCAAATTAAAACTTCACTTAAATTTTGAAGGAAAAAATATAATTTAGCCTGTTTTAACTATATGACAGATTATATTGACACTTGCTAAAATTTAACTATATTTTATTTTATACATTATTTTGACCTCCCGTATAATTATATAAAACATTAGATAAATGATGTATTGTTGAGATAAATAAACAATATTGTATTGTTAATTTGTTATATGAATTAAAAAATATTTATATAGAATAAAAAAAGAGATATTAAATAAAATTTCATTAAACCTCAGTAACTTTAAACTTCAAATAAAAAATATATAATTTAGCCTATTTTAAGCTATAGGTCAAATTACATTTACACTTGCTAAAATTTAACTAAATTTAACTCATTGTGTTTAGTTTTTTTTTTTTATTATTTTGACCTCCCTTAATTCATATAATTATGTAAAAAAATATAAAAAAATGTATTATTGATATAGATATAAAATATTATATTGTTATATAAGTTAAAAATATTTGTATAAAATGAAAGAGATATTAAATAAAATTTCATTAAACCTCAATAAATGTACTGAGACAATTCTTTTACCCGAGAAAAGACATAATGTTACCGTCATATATAATGCCAATCGCCCTCCTAACGATAAGTTTCTGAAGTGATATTTTGCTATTGGGATTTTGTTTCTTAGCCAAGGCTAGAATTGTTATTCACTTTGGACGAAATTTGAAACATAGTCCTGCCCGCGTAAAGGAATGTTTTTTTTTTTTTTTCTTAAATTACTCTTAAAATCTTATCACGTGTAAAAGAGCATATGCTCCTTATTTTGTATATACAGTAAAATTTATTATTATTTTTTTAAGGATGGCGAAATATGAAATGCAATGTCAAGATCATATATAAGGAAGTACCGAATGGTGTTTTGATTCTTTCAATTTTTATTTATTTATTTTGCGTTTACTGCTCTTTATGAATACTAAAAAGAATTAGAATGAATCGCAGGATAAATAAGAACTGAATATTCGAAATGAGACTATCCTTGGAGCAAGAGAAGAAGTTACACAAGATGAATGGGTCCAATAAAAAAAATCTCTTCCCCTTTGGTACTTGTGACATGTCCTTGAAATTATAAGGCCATGTAGCCCTCACTATACTTTAGGACATATGTCATGGCTTGTAGGTCCCTTAATGAATGAGGTAGGTCAGTACCAAGGCCACCAACATCAGGACATACGCTATCGCTTGGTCAATTGAGGTTCCTGCAAACAACATTTTAGTAGCAACTCATTATAACAAAATTACATTTAATCCAGATTTATGTCATCATGTGCATAAATTGATTTTAATTTATAATATCTTTCTTTCTTACAAGTATTTTGGTAAACAAACTAGATCTAAATCGGGTAAAGTGCGAAAAGTCTCAAGATTATTAAAAGAAAGAACGAAGCAATTCTTAAACAGAAACACAAGATTTAAGACATAAGATGAATAAGTTGAATGAATTGTGTGGAATTGTAACGATAATCTGAAAGAAATTACCATCGCTGGTGGGAGCAGGAGCCGGAGCAGGGGATTGTGCAGAAGCCATTGACATAAGGACAGCAAAAACGAGAGCAAGAAAGAGAGCCACCCTGCATGAAGCGCTTGAAACGGCCATTTCTTTGTTTCTCTTTTGTCTCTCTCTCCTTATCCTTCTCTCTTAATTTTGCAAACTTGAAGAGAGAAAGAAAAAGGAGAGAGAAATCCAAATAACAAAAAACTGAGAGCGAGGATATTGTGCGGGTGGTGAATACGACGATCCATCAGCTTCCTTTTATAAGGGTATTGTATGTATTGTATTGTAAAGTTTCAAAGCAAAGCCAGCCACGTTTAGATGTAAAATGAGAGGTGCGCCCGCACGTTTTGGAGGACCCATTAAGGCATTAACCAATTTGAGCTTTCCAATATTCCTTTCTTTCGTTTTTCTTTTTCTTCTTTTCCCTATAATTTGATGCCTTGGTTCTATGTTTACTATTTTGTATCCTTGTAATGTGTCATTGATTTCTAGCTGTACTCAGGAGACACAGACAAATTCCTCATATGTCTAATTATTGCCATGAACTCTTCCCCCTTTTTTTTGCCTTTGACTAGAACAGAATTTCAATAATGAAAATAATTTCTATCGTTAATTAAAATTGTCTGAAGGTTGAATACAAAATAAATTTAATTTTGATATACTCACTGCAAAAAATAAGTTTTGGCTTGTACAATAATGTGTTCTTCCATTGTTTAATAAATTTAACATTTTCTTTTCATTGCGATCAAATTCGTCGAAGGAAACATATAATAATAGCGATAGTATAAAAAATTGTATATTAATGGTGCATTAATAAAATTAAACAATTATGAGTAAATTAAATCTTATTTGAAATGCTTAGTAAGTAAATTACCTTTTTACTAGCAGTGTTGTTTTTTGTATCTTCAATGAAATATTATTCCCTTTGAGAAGGAGTTGTGGCGATCACATATCCATGTTACTAATGAACATAACCTATTTTGGATCTCTTGTTTTTGTTGGGGGGCTGGAATGAAATACAGTTAAACTTATTGGAGAGGAACCTAGGGTATATAAGTTTTCTCATTCAATCCTTTATGTTATTTTTCTGTTTAACTCTAAATCCGATTTCCTTGTGATTATCAATCATTCATACGAATACTATTAATATCCAATAGCCATGCAATATTAATATTCTTTTCTTTAAATTAACATTCTCAATGGTCATGCAAGACATCAATTTGAGAAAGCTTAAGGAACCTATGAACTTATTAATTTAATAACGGTTATAAGAGAAAGATTGGTTTAGTCCACCTAATCATTTGTCTCGTTTTACCCTATAGATCTATTAATTAACCGAAGTAAGGTTGCCTGACGATATAATTAATTAGGACTAAGAGAGAAGCACAATAAGATAAAATATAATCACGAAACAAAAATCAAATTTAGATTCAAACTTCAAAACTCCATAAATTCATGAATAATAGTTCCCATAGCCCTAGCTATGGACTTAGTTACTCATGCTAAAGAAAAGAACTAAAACAATCATAAAAAAAGTTATAAAGAAAAGAAAACTAGAATGAGATGAGGTACCGGTCTTCAAGTACGATCGCTTGAAGCTCCAAATCTCACCAAGCATGTGCCAAGGATCCCGTGCAAGAGAAAAGAGACAAGAAGTGTATCCGAAAGCCAAAGACTAGATGTAAAAACGGTCTCCTTTACGATGCCTGAGATCTCCTTTTAATAGGGTTTGAAAACCCTAAAGACTCTTGATAATTGGGTTTCTCGCAGATGAGCACGGCCGTACAGGGCCTTAAGCACGACTGTGCATGGGCTCGAAGCACCCTCGTGCTTGTTGAAAGGGTCTGGGCATGCTGACTGTTGCGAAGCTCTAATCTTCTATCAATTTGGGCCCAAAACACACCCAAAGTATACTTGCAGCATCTTTATACCAAACTGTATAATTAATATATAAATTAGTGTGAGCACCAAATAAAATAAAGGTCAAATATGAATATATGAGCTGTAAAATAGGGCCTAATTACAGACTTATCAACTCCCCCATACTTATCTATTTGCTTGTCCTTAAGCAAAGTGCTGGTTAAGAGAATAACATAATAAATTGAAACATAATACCACACAAGGAACCTGAGATGAAGGGAATAAAAAGAGTAACAAGAGTAATATCACCGAGCATAAGCAATCAAAAGGACTCCTAATTAGAATATTATATTTTCATACTTTTCACTTAAATATCAAACTGAGGTACTCTACTTTTCTCTCTCACT